AGATACCCTGGATCAGTACCAGGTTTCCCGAGACAGATGGTGGTCTTCTTTGTACAAGATGGTTGAAGGTAAGGACAACTGCAAATTAAACTTTTCAAAAGCAAAAAATTACTTTCATGGTCATCTTCTTTGAGTCTCCTTGAGCCGAGGGTCCATCAGAAACAGCCTCCCTACCCCAGGTAGGGGTAAGGTCTGCGTACACTCTAGCCTCCCCAGACCCCACTTTGCGATTTTACTGGGTTGTTGTTGTTGGTCATCTTCTTTGAGAACCGTTATTTGTCATGGTCACCATTAGTCAGTATTGATGAAGAACAAGATTTAGACATAGACAGGTTGACAGACACACGTGCCCTAACATGGATGTACTCTATAACTTTACCCACTTCCCTTTGCCACCATTTTTTATGCTTTAGGCATCTGGTGTTTGAAATCCACTGGATCGCTACTCCGGATACGCGCAGGGTAGGGCTCAGTAGAGCTAGGAGTTCCTCTATTTCCAATGCTCGAACCTGAGACTTTTAATTAAGGCTAGAGGGATTCCAACCATCCCACCACACTCCTTGGTTTTATTTTTTGGTTTAGGCATTTTGTTATCTGGTTGAGTATGTCTTTGTGTGGTCTTTGAGGCCTTTACTTGGTCTCCAATTGTTTCTCTTTAAGGAAGCAGTGCTGTTAGTATAATGTTCTCATCTTGTATGATTTTTTGATCAACTATTGGTTTTAATTATGGTTCTGGGGTTTTTACACTTTTCAGGTCTCGCGATGATGAGTAAGCTGGCGCGCAATAGACTTCATCAAGCAGAACTTGAGGTTGAAGAAAAAGCAATTAACTGGGATCGCGCTGAGATGTAAGTGTCTTCCAGTCTGCAGCAGATAATGGAATGGGACTTTTCTTTACTTATTTTATTAGATTTCACAGAATTTTGGTTCTGGCCCCTTAACACTAGTTGTGACATTGATTTTTTATCCCATGAGAAGTTTTTGCTGTGCCTCTTCTGAAGATGATGATGAGGTTTGTTGTAAAATTAAGGGGAAAAGTAATTTTGAATGCAACTACCACAGGGACGAGGAAATTGCGTTAGAACGACTTTGTTATAAGAGATCTCCTAGTTCTGTGCTGCATTGCTAAAACAACTTTTTTTTGGATCCTATCATGTATTATTATCCAGCTTCTATCTACACACACACATCCATGCACCACTAATAGTAGCGTTGGTGATGTCTTTTTACAAGCTAGTGATAGTTTTGCGCTAAGGTGACATGAACAAATCGAGAGATGGTACAAACCAAGGGTGGTTTATATTCATAACTTTTTTATACCTTGTTTCCCTTAGTATTGTTTGTTGAAGAGACTAAGATCCTGTTTGGCCAAGCTTCTGGGAGGTCAAAAGTACTTTTCTCCCTAAAAAAAGTACTTATTAAGAAATTTAAATTGTTTGGCCAAGATGGAGAAGTGCTTTTCGCCCGAAGCAGAAGCAGTTTTTCTGCTTTTGGGTAGAAGCAAAAGATACTAGCTTCTTTCAAGAAGCAGAAGCAGAAAGTTAATTTGTCCAAGACAAAACCATCCTCACCACAAATTATATTTTTCAAATTATCCCTCACTGATTTAAGCCCTTTCTTTTTCTTCTTTATTTCTAGTTTCTTCCGTTCTTTTAAATGAATTGTAGCAATTCCTTTTTGATTTTTCTTGTGTTTGATTTTTCTTTGGGTAATGTCTTGCAACTTTCCAAATTCTTTTTTGACTGATCTTGTTTTTGATTTCTCTAAAGTAATAGATCTGCTTGAATTCTCCTGGTAACTTTAGGGAAATTACCAGTTATGTCCATTTATAAGTAGCTCATTACAAAAATTGGTCAATTGATAAAATATTACTAATATTAGCTAAATTAGCCAATTAGCTATTTGTAGCAAAAAATATCAAATTTTTGCTTTGTTTTGAGTGGGTGTTATTGAATAGATTGGGCACAACTTAAGGAGCTTGAATTTCAGTTTTGGGATGATTTGGTGAAGTTTTGAGGTGGTTTGAATTGAAAATTCGAAGTAAAAGCTGAACATGAAAAAAAATGATGTGTATCACATATGTATCATATTTGTATCAATTGTGTATCACATGTATATCCATGTATACCTGTGTGTGTGATACATGCGTGATACATGTTTGATACATGTATCGCAGAAGACTTTTTTGAACACGATTTAATTATGAATTCTGATACAAAACCAGTCCAAATCACCTCCAATCTTCCTCAAATTTTGTATATTGACTTATCTATATATTTTCAATGAATTTCAACTATACCCATTGAAAACGTTCCTTTTTTGTTTAGATTTTTGGAATATTGTATAGATTTTTGTATTTCATCACCTTATTTGCTACCCCGTCCATGAAATTTCCTTTCCGTCTTGTATCTAATGTTGCTAATCACGCTTAAAAATATGGAAGGTGATTTTTGCATGTGATTCTTTGAGAGAAAGAACCCTATTATTTGGTTTTTCAATTTTTGTTGGCTAGTTTTGGTAAGTCTATGACTAATGGCTAGAGGTTGGTAAGTTGAGATTTATTTGGGATATTTGTGTAAGTTTCCCGTAACTTTAATAGATCAAATCCTCGAATTCTTTCTACAACATAAGAAGGCCAAAATTTCACGGTATAGCCAGTTTTCGGACTGGTCAATCAAAAATAGGCAGCGTTTACTAAGTCAATGAAAAATAGCCACTGTTTTGCTGCAATAGAGACCGGTCCAGTATAATATCCTGGAGTTTCAGTGCAGTTGTGTATGAACTCCAGCATATTATGCTGGACTGGTATACTTTGCTGGCTCCAGTATAATATACTGGAGACTGGAGCACTGGTGCTCCAAACTCCAGTATATTATGCAGGAGTTCTAGTGTATTTATGCTGGAACTCCATCATATTATGCTGGAGTTCCAGCATACTATCCTGGAACTCCAGTATAATATGCTGGAGTTCAAGTATACTTATGCTGGAACTCCAGCATAATATACTGGAGTATTTTCCGGGTTTTGAACAGTGTTTTCGCTTAGATTTTATCTTTACATAAAAAGTGGCTAAATTTCGATTACTTTTGAAATTGGGCTATTTTTGAACGACCAGTTGTAAATCTGGCTATTTTTAAAAATCACCCAATAAGAAGTCCTATCTGTTACTAATAGACCTCTTTTCCCTTTTACTTGTGCAATTTCTTCTTTTTTGTCTCCTATTCCGCTTTGAAATAACATAACTAATAACAAATTCCAGTACGTTTTTTATAAGGTATGATTTATTTTTTTCTTTTGTAGTGTACCAATTTATTATACATAATATCTAGTATGTATTTTTGTCTTATTCTTTTTTAACATGAGTGCATGTACCAATGATACATCTAATATTTTGTGAAAGTGACTACTGATTTATTTTTTTAGACTTTGATGTGTAATAACACTTATTTTTAATAATATGAGTGATTTATTTTTTTAGACTTTGATGTGTAATAACACTTATTTTTAATAATATGAGTGATTAACAGTTGAAAGCTTTTCCCTTGATGCTCTTATTTTTTTCATCTTTCTCCTTTTTTGACATGATAAATTTTTTAGTTCTCTTATTTGTTTAATATTATTACTAATCACATGTTCTTAATGCACATTGAAAAGAAAATAAGCAAGAAAGTGCCACTGGATAATAACTCTGAGAAGGCTAAATGGGATGTAGAAATCACATAACTATATTTAAATATATGTGTAGTAGAAATTTTAGCCGGAAGTTGTCTAGAGACTTACTTCAGCAGATTAAGATGGTCTAATCCGTGCAAAAGTTCGATGATAAAATCGGAAAAAATTATGATAAAGTTAAGTTGAAGATTATCATCATGTATACAATAAGTAATTATACAAGGTAATATTATTACTTTGGTATAAGTATTGATTTAAATCTTTAATATGTATATTTACTTTATGTTATAGTTTAATTAAATAAAATAAAAAATAAAATAAAACATTCTCTTACAACAAATATTTAAATTTATTTTTCTCTTTAAAATAATTATAAAATCTTGGCACTATCCTTTTTGGTAATGTGACACTCAAATGCACTTTTTTGAAAGATGGACCAAACACAATTTATTTACCAAATGTTGCAAAAGTACTTCTCAAATGAATTGGCCAAACACGAATTGTTTTTTTTTTTTCAAAATTACTTTTAGAAAAATCACTTCTCAAAAAAAGTACTTTTCAAATAAGCAATTTTCGATAGCTTGGCAAAACATGCTCTAAGTAAATAAAAGTGTGCTCTCTAATAGTTTAAGCTTTTAAGTGAGATTACACACTTTAATATGGTATCAGATCAAGCATAGGTCCTAAGTGACCATTATAAAAATGAGTTTTCACATGCTTGGCCACTACCCTATTCCTTCGGGGTAGGGTTAAGGTTTGCGTACACACTACCCTCCCCAGACCCCACTAGTAGGATTTCACTGGGTCGTTGTTGTTGTTGTTGGCCAATGAAAAAAAAAATGAAGCATGCACGTGAGTGGCCCTGCTGAAGAGATTTTGTAAATAAAAGTGTACTCTCTCTAATCTTTTAGACGAGATGGTTACACACTTCAATATCATTTAATTGCACAATTCTTATTAAAGAAAAAATATTCTTAAGTAGTGGACTTCCATTAAAATAGAGCTAGGTATTTTTCCTTTTAAGTCATATGTTTAAAACTAGACAATGTGACTAGTCAAGAAAAATTTAGTAAAGGTAAAAAGAGAAGCTGAAATTTAAGGTTCTTCAAATCACCAAAGGATGTAGTTGGATGAATGGGATCCTTAACTAAAGGTCAAGTTCAACCACTGAAAATGGAGAAACCTCTAATAGGGTGTGGATAAGCCAGACAATTAAATTCAAGAAATCTCATATGGTTATTAAAAGAAATCTCAAGAAATTAAAATGAATTAACATGATGGCTGAAACTAAGAGTACAATAAGTAAAAGATACCACAAGAGGAGAAAGCATCCAAGAAATATATGTTATTTTGCAAAGCTCTTTACTACTATTATGATTAAACACCTTAACTACTGCAACTAGAAGCTTACCACTTTTTACACAAATTGGATTCTTACACAAAGGATCTTAAGACTACATGAATCTACAAGGATTTCTTATGAAATTGAATGCCTCCTGTTTCTTGAAGATGAACCAGAAGATTTAATTTCTCCTTGAATAATCATTGAAGTTGGACTCTGAGAACTAGCAGATGTCTCAGAGCTCCGGTTTTCGACGTTACCAGACACCTTACCAACAACAAACAGCTTGTCAAATATCCTCCTTGATCTTGAAGGCAGCAATTGCGCACCACTACTTCTGTTTTTACTACCCTTTTTAACCAACTTCATGTTCTTTTGTGGATCTTCATCTTTAACCTTCATTACACTCGATGGTTTCGATACATTGTGTTTTTCTGGCAATGATTTCTGCCAATATTCTTCAGTCTTCCTAGTGGAATCTAAGGCATTACTGTTTCTGTTGCTTAAGGCTTGAACTCCAACAGCTGCTCTAATTTGCTCAAAGAAAAGGACTTGAACGACAGTCCGGAGAGGCAGCCGTTCATTTTGTGCTGCATGCATAGATGCATCCATTGTTAATTTCCTCACATCCATTAGGCCACATAAATGCTTTTTCTCAGCTTTTGTCAAACTTGAGTGCTCCTGCAGTGAAGAGAAGCCATTATTAGTACATGATTAAACCATAAGCTTCAAAAATCGCATCCAAAACATTATATACAAGGATATTATTTTCCTTGTATGTATACATTGGGAAAGGCCAATACTTCCTTCTATTAGATAGCTGTGTAGGTCCAATATGAGATTGGAACATAGTAATGTGAAGAAGTGTTGTTTCATAGACAACGCCAGGATTTGAAGTTTATCGGTTCAGGATTCTAGCTTCGCCCCTGTGTTGTTTAAGTCTTTGTTGCTCGGATCCTCCAAATATGTTGAAGGCTGTGTGTCGAATCTTCCAAAGTTTTGGCATTTTGGCGGATCTGACACAGTGTATGGCAACATATTGGAGGATCCAAGCAACGTAGGTTTAGGTTCAACTGAATGAGAGACTTCCGAAAACTTTGGACCACATTAAGGACTTGGAGAACTTATGATAGAAAATAAATAAATAAATAAATAACCTGCAGATAGATATCAATTGCCCCATATAATGCATCATGTATCGGTCTTGCTGAGTCTGGAACGGATTGCAACAGTTCAATGAAACTCGAGAGACTGACGTTTGGGTCACGAGCAATTTCTGCAAGATAGCCATCAACTAATTTACCGACTTTCAACCATGATCCATGCCCCAAGACGAAATCATTGTTGTTCTTCGCGGAAATGTTCTTATCCCGATTGCTTCTTTCACGAGTCATGAATCGGTCCACTAGGCACTTCACTAGTTCAACATCGTAAACAGTAGTTTGAGGAGACCTTGATGGAATCAAAAGATCCTTGACAGAAGCCTCGTCCAGCTTTAAACTGATACTTCTTATAAGATCGTCCCGTGATGAATCATCCGCTCCCACAAGAATAGCGACTTTCAATAACTTAAGCAAGAAGCTACATGAACAACTAACGCTCTTGTCAGAAGGCAATAAGCAAATTATTGTTTCTAACAAAGACTTGTTCCTCCTACTGTGAGCTTCAGACACCAAAGCTTCAATAGAATCAGGCAACCATCTCATTGCATAAGTTCTTAACGCCTCACCAATAACACTACCATCCATTCTTCCCTTGGATTTAACCGCAATCATAACTCGCTTGTAAAGATCTATCTCAAGTTCACATATATCTTCAACCCACCAATCCTTTGGCACGGATTCAAGGTTCACAGGGAATTTTATCCCAACTTCAGTGATCTTATCTGAGACTGCTACTTTTCTGTTATAAGTATAGGACCATGTAATAGTCGACGGATCCATTGAAGTTTTGGATGCAATAGAATCTATACATCTCCCGACCACCTTCAGATCTTCAGACCACGGTAGAAGAGATTTGGTGGTTTGTAAAACAATGATCGAATCTTTCCAGCTGCGGAAAACACTGGAATTGAGGAATACCTCGATTTTGAATATAAGATTTCCTCTGTCAACGTCTTCAGTCATCTCAAGGTACTCAGCCGCACAACGGGCAGCAACAACATTGTAAGGATTGAGAGTCACTGTCATTCCGTAGCAAAATTTGGCGCAAATCTCAAAAGCTTTAGGTCCACCAGGAAAATCAACTAACTGAATTTCATCAGAATCCTCTTCATTTGCTTTTGAAACAAGCCTTTGCAGCTTGTTGCTCTTGGACAACAGAGGAAACTGGCAAAGCAAAATCAGTGTCAACTGTAAATCAGATACAGACTCAGACTCAGATGACAATCAGTATAAACTGTAAATCAGATACAGATTCATAGCCCGTTTGGCCAAGCTGCAAAAATCAGCTTATTTTGAGAAGTGCTTTTTTTCAAAAGTGCTTTTTTCAAAAGTACTTTTGGTGAGAAGCAGTTTGTGTTTGGCTAATTAGTTTGAAAAGCACTTCTGAGCAGCAGTTAGTGTTTGGCCAAGCTTTAAAAAACTGCTTCTAAGTGTATTTTTTTTCAAAAGTGCTTCTCAAAAAAGTGCTTTTGGAGAGAAGCTACTTTTTTCTACTTCTCCAAAACTGCTTCTGCTTCTCCTCAAAAGCACCTTTTTTTCCTTCCAAAAGCTTGGTCAAACACCTCAATTTTTGGCCAAAAGTACTTTTGGCCAAAAAAAAGTACTTGTGGCCAGAAAGAAACTTGGCCAAACATGCTATCAGACTCAGATGACAAAATCAGTATAAACTGTAAAGGTTTGGAGATAGCTTATATTTTTATGTCAAGAACAACTTAGCAAACAAGTCTCCTACCATGTGCGAGGAAAGATTTGGTAATCTCAAGGAGTTACTTTAGTCTAAAGGTCTTCCATAAACACAAGATTAGTACGTACTCTCGTATTTTTTTAGTCTTAGGTTTCTATTATTGCTGGTTGTTTCTTTCATTTTGGTAATCTTACAATCTTGTTGTCATTAATGCATCTCTTCCATGGCTCCTCACTATTGTTCTTGCCGTTTTATTTTCATTACTGTTGTGCTTATGCTTTACTAAGCCGAGGTTCTATTGGAAACAGCCTCTCTATCTCCACGAGGTAGGGTAAGGTCTCCATACACATTACCCTCCCCAGACCCCACTATGTGTGATTACACGGGGTATGTTGTTATTGTTGTTGGTCTTTCATACACACTTGCAGTTCACAAAAAAATGAGATGAAACCGAAACACGTGGCAAATTCATCAAACTAGAAATTTTCTCTTCTACATAAATAATCTAGTTCTACATGCAAATATGTTCACTATCCCTAGCTCAAGATCATTGAGGAACAGCAGCAAACAAGTTTTGCTTGTTACCTTCTCTCAATTCAATAGAACATATTTGAAGAATAACAATCAAGTACCTCTTTTTTTTTTTAATGAAATCACCATTTCTCCTACAAATTTTGGGGAAATTCAGTCCCTTTCCCCCTGTTTCATTCCCTTTAGGCTCTCCTGGACTTAAGGTGGACGTGTAGTCTGGCTCGACCAAACGTACCATCGGATTTTAACTTAAGAACACAGCTCAATCGTTAACAAACTTACTCCTAAATTTTATGCAAGTTCGGTCTTTCTCCCTTGGTTTCATTCCCATTAAGCTTCTGGACATCACACAGTCCCTTACAAGTCTCTGAGCTCTGGGCTGGGGAGAGAGCTGCTCAGCACAGATGCGTGTTAAATGTTTTTATGAGCTACAATCTTATAATTTTAACACTTGATGGGCACATGTATTGCACTACAAACAGAGGCAGAGCCAGGATTTGAAGTTACTTGAAGTTACTGGGTTCAGGATTCAGTCCTTTTAAATTGCTGGGTTCAGGATTCAGTCCTTTTAAATTGCTGAGTTCTAAATTAAGAATTTGTACATATTTAATGAATTTCTTAAGATAAATATAAAGTTTACCAAGGTTGCTGGGTTCGACTGAACCCATAAAATACATACTAGCTCCGCCCCTGACGACCAACAGCATGAAGAAACATAGAGAGGATAAGTATTCTCTCTCAACAAATAGGCTAGATAGGATACGTATTCGACAACTAAACCGATTCAAAATGCTTTTTGCATATTTGGATTAAAGTACAGACGACGATGAAACTTGAATCCTAGAAGAAAATAGACAGGATAAGCACTCAACAACCTAATTGATTCCAAATGTTTTTTCCATATCTGGATTATATAATAAATTTGCATCTCCCAACTGGTGGACATGTTAAGCACATAGTATAATTAAATGGACATTGTAGCAATATTCCCTTTGGCATGAAAGATCAAGTTACCTTGTGAAGATAAAACTTCACTTCACCAATAATGACGGTAACATCTGTTGCCAATTCGGATGACACGTACCTACATCAGTTGATCAAAATTCATATACTACATAAGAATGTGATCAGAGCAACTGAAAGAAACAACACAATGATTTTTAAAGGGAGAACATAAAAGAAATTGTGGCTTATCAACATAAGATTAAGAATTTTAACTATGCTTTATTCAGCCAGTAATTAATTGTATCTCTTTTATCTGTTTTTGTAGTTAAAATTTCTGCTACTTAAGTTATCTAAATGGCAAAAGTAAAGAACAAAACAAGAATTTTCTGCCAGTAGTTAAGTGCACAGGAAGTTAAATTAAAATCTTCTTTTTTTAAGAAAAAGAGATCAGAGATCCATGTGATAGACAGCTTTTCCTTAAACTTTATAAGTAATGTACAACTGAAGTTCCTTGAATATCAATCGAAAATATTCTCATAATCTTTTGTAATACAAGAACAATGTATATTAACTAACTGCAGCTCAACAATCTAATTTTAGCTTTGTGTTAACTAAAAATGTTTCTACTGCCAAATGTTTGCTTGTAAAACATAATCACAGAATCTAAATTCTAACAGTGACAGTTTTCTTCATCGCGTTTAACTTTTGTGCAATGACAATATATAATCTTTTTACACCATCAGATTATGCGACTCGACTTATAACAGCAGGTACGTCTCTAGTAATCCACATTAATAACTTAGTAACAAAAAAGACAAACTATATAACTCGTTATAACTGGCTAAAATGCACTGATAGAGTAAAACTCATTTGAACAATCATTGTATATAACTTAAATCCTTTTCCATTTTGGTTCCAACATTTTTAACAGACTATAGTGCAGGTATTGTATGTCAAATTAAAAAAGGGCAGCCCGGTGCACTAAGCTCCCGCTATACGCGGGGTCGGGGAAAGAGCATGACCACAAGGGTCTAGCAATCTTACCCTGCATTTCTACAATAAGATATTTCCACGGCTCGAATCCGTGCTGGTCACATGTTAGCAACTTTATCAATTATGCCAAAGCTCTCTTTCAAATATTGTATGTCAAATAGTAAGTAGATTAAACAATGTTACAAAATATAAACAAAACTAAGATGAATTCAAATAATTGAAGATTATTGACCCCACCAAGTCTATTACTATATGAGTAGTAAATATTGGACCACCTAATAATCAAACGCAGAAAGTAGATTCAAGACCACTTTTTGAATGTGCTCATGCAAACCACCATCAAAATTCTTAAAAAAGGTAATAATGAACTCTAAATTAGACAAATGAAAGAGGCACAAAATCAAAAAGTAAATGAATATTGCCTGCTTTTTAAGTTGGCAACAGTAGTAGGAGTATAAAATAGAATCTTGTACCCACAACTTTTAAAATAATTCTTAAAAAGAAAAAAGAAATCCATTATTTTAAGAAGAATTAACTCAAATAGCAGCTCAACTAACCGTTTAAACTAAAATTATATATAATTCATGTATGATATATTCATAACCGTATATAATTTATGTGTACGGACTAAAAAAATTAAACAACGGCTATTGTGTAAAGATCCTTATTTTTAATAGCTGTCTCTTTTTTTTTGCAAAGCAATCTCAAAAATTGGTCTGCAACATGTGCAAGAAGTGGAAGACACACTGCATAAGATGTGGTGCTCATATCCAAATAAAAGATGAAAGATAAACCCAAATAATAATAATTTTTTCTATAAAAAAATTAAAATAAGGAAATTCCAAAAAAAAGAGTACGGAAATCAAAAGGGGTTACCTTCTTGTCATGCATACTACTACTACATATTGATAGAATCTTTACACTATAAAGGGTCGTTTGGTATCATGAATAAGTAAAACTAATTCAGGGATAAAATTTAGTATCGCCTTTATCTCTTGTTTGGTTATTCAAGAGTTATCTTAGAATTAAATATACTATCGGGATAATTTATACATGCCGAATGGTGGAATAATAATTATATGGAGAAGAAGAATAGGAAATACAACAAGAATTTTCAAGAAAACAAAAAGCCCAACCAGTGGATCAGTAGAAGGGAACATAAATTCAAGTGCATTTGCAAAATAAAACAAGAAAATAATAAACCATTTACGTACCTTACACCTTTTCCTTGATCTTGAAATGTATCAGGTTTTGATCCCAACTTCATGAACTTCATATTTTTTTTCTCCTCAATAAATAAAACCAAAAATCTCTGCTAAAAGACTCCAACTTTAGACACAACTAACTAATCCAAGAAATTCTAAAACTTTCATTTTTATGACTCAAGAAGAAGAATATTTCCAGAGAAGAAGCATATTCTAAACTCCAAAACAAGCAGAAAAAAACAAACTGATAACTAACAGAGCATAATCTTGATTTTGTTCCCACAACTACCTCGATTCTTGAGCCACACAACTTCAATTCCCATAATAAACACATTCATGATTTTGATACTCCACCATTTACTACTAGTATGCTAAAAATAAAATAAAAAAAGCTAAAAATTAAACCAACCCCACATGCAGAGAAAATTGGTTGAGTCTTAAATTTGTCGCCGCCTTTGAATTAACTTCCCCTATGCTAGCCATAGACACAAATCTCAAAGATTTCTGCAGCTCTTTCTCTCTCTGTATATAGATATATACTTGGTGTGGGGGGAGGGGGACGTGGTGTGTATATATACTGAATACACTGATGAAATTGTCGTCCAATCTTTGAAATGTTTGCAGGAAAAAAGAGATAATATGAGAGAGGAAGTGTCAGAAGAAAGAAAGTAGAAGTGTCTTTGTTTGTAGATTAGTAATAGTAGTAGGGGACTGTGTTTGACAGAAACCAGCCTGGTTGGGGAGAGGGGAGGGGAGCATGGTGTGGTAATAAAGGAGATCTTTTTTTTTTATTAACAAGGAAAATATAAGGAACTTATCGGTCGTTTTAAGCAATTGCACTCCATTTAGCTATTTGAAGTGTTGAGTAATATCGTGTAATGTGATGACCCGATAGGTCGTGAGAAAGAAATTCTTGCAACTACGAAAACTACAACCACCTCTGTGAACAGACGCTTTGTCAGTTCATTTTTTATATAGCTTTAATTCAATAATTAAGAAAAAAGGTTAAAAAAACTGAAGAAGCACCCTTGATGATTAAATCTAAGTATATTCCTTGGAGGCATTCAATGGAAAAATAATATTCAATCAGGAAAAAAAAGGACAATGAAATAACTTCGTCCAAAAAATACAAATCCCACCATCTTTAATTTTAACATTCATTTCTGTGTTTCGACACCTCGAATAGCTCTATTCAGCCTTCCTCGATTTTGCGTGCACAGTTTGTATCTTTATCCGAAAGGTTTTTATGAGAAAATTGATGAAAACGTGAAATCGTTCCTTAAAAACTCATTTGAGTTGACTTCGGTCAACGTTTTGTGTAAATGGACCCGGATCGGTGTTTTGACGGTCCCGGTGGGTCCGTGTCGTGATTTGAGACTTGGCGTATGCCCGAAATCAAATTCGAAAAGTCCCTAACTTGATTTAACACCATTTGTCGAAAACTAGAAATTTAAAAGTTTAAAGAATTCCTAAATTTTGTCATAATTGGATTTTGTTGATACTGGGTCCCGATTTGGATTCCGAGAGTTCGATCAGCTCCGTAACAATATTTGCTTCCAAGGTGCGTAAGCACGTTTTCCGTTAGCTTTTGAAAAATTAAAAGTTTTGATTTTATAAAGCTTGAAATTCTAAAGTTTGACCCGAGTTTGACTTTGTGGTTAACGGGCCCGGAATTTGATTTTGAAAGTTTGTGCAAGTCCATTTTGCTAATTGAAACTTGTCTAAAAAAATTTGGCGTGATTTTGAGTTGATTTGATAGGATTCGGACGCTTGGTTGAAAATTTTGAAGTTCTTGAAATTTTCTTGAAAATACATGCGTTTTGGCATTCAATTCTAAATTCTAGGTGTTATTTTGGTGTTTTGATCATGCGAGCGAGCTGGTATCATATTTTAGGACCTGTGTGTATGTTTGGTTGAGGTCTCGAGAGGTTCGGGCGAGTTTTGAATAAGTTTGAGCAATTTGGCACTTTGGGCCGCACAACCTCGAATATGCAGGCTTGTTAGTCTGACTTCGGAAGCTTATATATTTTAATCTATAGAATTTGTAGATAATTCAAAAACAAAAATTGTAGCCCTTTGAGTCTAGTTTTGAGAAAGTTAAACCATTTATCATTTGGACATTTATACGAAAAGTTATGATCGATTTATTGAAGAATGGTACTGCAGTTGATGCCTGGAAATAAGCTGAAACAGGTCGTCTTTTAAAGAGGCGACCTGCCTCGGCAGCTTAAAAACGCATTACAACTTCTTTTCTTCATCTTTTTTGAAAACTAGTCCGAGAGTGGCGATTTTTTTCAAAGGTTCTTCAAGGAAATCGCTGGGGGTAAGTGATTCTAACCCAGATATGATTATATTTCATGATTCAATAATTATTTTCATCATTAAATTAGTAGAAGTCGGAAAAATTATAAAATCTCTCAAAATTGTAAAATGAAGAGTTGAAGGGCAATTCGATATCGGAATTTGTTAATTTTGGTATGGTTGAACTCGTATCGGAACGAGTGTTCGAGTTTTTTTAATTTTATCGGATTCTGAGGTGCGGGCCTAGATGGTTGACTTTTGTTGACTTTTTCGAAAAATGATTTAAATTGAATCTCTTTCGAATTGTGAGTAGTTTTTAAAGTTTAATTTGAATTGTTGGCCAATAAATTTCTAGATTTGGTTGGTTCGGAGGCTTGTTCGAAAGGAAAAGTCGTGATCAAGTGATTGCTTGAGTTGCAAAGCAAGGTAAGTGTTTTGCCTAACTGTGTTGAGGAAAGTATTCCTGCGAATTGCCATTGTTTGCTATATGCGGGGGTGATACATATATGAGGTGATGAGCGTGTATGTATGTGTCATGGTTAATCATGCTCGGGGGTAAATTATACGTTTAATTATGACTTGTAGAATTATGTGACATTCTTGTTCATGCCTTCCTTGATTTCTAGATTACCATGAATACGAAATTAAATGCTAGAAATCATGATTTAGCTTATTATAATTTGATTAAAACTTGACGGACTTTTTGTGAAATTATTGATGTACTAAATCCAGTTGTTATTATACTTAATCACAAATACATCGTTACGACCGTTATTCTTAAGAAATTGAATTCTATACTTGAGTTGAAGATCATTTTTTAGACTTATTGAAATATTTGAATAATAAAGTACTTGGGGCTTATCGAATTGTTATTGGCTTGAAAGTGGTGATTGATGTTCAATTGGAACATTCGCTTGAACACTCTCCTTAATATTATTCATGCTTCCTACCTTGCTTGTTATTGATATACATTTGCTTGGTAAGGAAGAGTGAAAAGCACGAAGGGTGATGTCGTGTCATTTTATATACATTATTATGTGAGGGAAAGTGTAAAGCACGAAGGGTGATGCCGTGCCATTTCATCTACATAATTATGTGAGAAAAAGTATAAAGCAAGGAGGGTGATGCCGTCCCATTTCAGTTATATTATCATGCACATTATCATACGAGGATGATAGTAAAAGCACGAAGGGTTGATGTCGTGCCATTTAAGTTACATTGTCATGTTTTTATATTACCATGTGTTCATGGCACGAAGGGTGTTTTCTCGAAGGCGAGAACGAGGGACATGCATTTTGTTGTGATATCTTTTCCTTGTGTATGTATTCATGCCTTTACCTGGTACTGTTACTGTTACACCTATGTTTTGTATGTGGTTGTTGATATTGTTCTGTCTTAATTCTTTATCCCAATTATTGACGTGTTGTCCATGTCTTTCTATTTGTTTAACTTGCAAATATCATGCTTTCCCCCTTGTTGTCTCATCTACACCTATGCCTTTTTCCTAGTTTGTTACCGTCGTCCATATGTACTGCCTTGTTCATTATTGCTTTCTGTGTGTCTCCCACTTTATCGTTATTTTACTAGCATTTCTTTCACCTAGTTGGTATTGTCATGCGTATGCTCGGTAAGGAAGAGATAAATGCACGAAGGGTGTTGCCGTGCCAATTGATTTGATCTACAAACATATATTGGGTGAGAATGAGATAAGTGCACGAAGGTGTTATCGTGCCATTAAATTTGATATCTTGAATATATTCCTCACACCAAGAAATTATGAATTGAATGAGATAAATGCACGAAGGAGTTACCGTGCCATTCCATGTGATATCTTAGATATGTTTCTCACATTAGGAAAATTATGAAATTACTACTGTGATTTCTCCTAGTAATCATTTATTGCCTCGCATAGCTATTTTATTGTACTCTTATGTGTTATGTTTCATAATTATTTCCATTGTTAGTCTATTGCACAAGTTATAACAGTGAGTATCTTTTACTAAAAATTCTCGTCACTACTTCGACGAGGTTAGACAATATACTTATTAAGTACATGAGGTCAGTTGTACTCATAATATACTTTTACACCTTGCGTGCAAATTTTGGATGCTGATGTTGCTGTGTATGGCGGGAGCTGGCATTGAAAATGTATCTACAATCCGGTCACAACTGGCTCTTGTTCTTGGTAGCTTCAGAATTATTAATCTGTTCGTGTTTATTTCAAACAGATGATGTATTTTATTTCATACCACTTTTGTAAATTCTAAATCTTAGAAGCTCATGATTTGTACTACCGGTCCTTAGAAAATGTATAAAGGCTCAGTTATTCTATCATTCATTTTTCTCAATAAATCTAATTAAATTAGATTGTTAATTGGCTTACCTAGTGGGTTGGGTTAGGTGCCATCACGACTAGTTGGGTTTTGGGTCGTGACAGAGACCTTCTTATATAAAGGGCGATCCGACATACTAAGCTCTTATTATGTACAAGTTGGAAAAAGATCGGACCATGATATCATATTGAGTCATGTGTAGGTTGTTTTACTTTATATTTCTTCAAGAGGCTGATTTTGTGACTAGAATCTTGATTTTTAAAATAAGATTTGTGTGCACGTTTGGTTTGAATCCCCGAGGGCTCAGGTGAGTTTCGGATAGGCTACAGAGTGATTTGAACTTGAAAAATTTTGCTGGTGTAACTGAGCAGGCTGCAGGCCTCTGATCTCGCATTTGCGAGATCAGGCATCGCAATTGCGACCTCTGAGGGGTTCGCATTTGCGAGCTAATTCTCGCATTTGCGAGGAGAAGTTGGGCCAGCAGTGTTCGCAATTGCGAACTTTCCTTCTCATTTGTGAAGGGAGTCTGCAAATGGTAGGGATCGCAATTGCGATCAATTGGTCGCAATTATGGAAGGCCAGGCTCGCATTTGCGAGGCTTTCTTCGCGTTTGCGATGAAAGCAGGAATGGGGAGAATTTCGCATTTGCGATATGTTCTTCGTATTTGCGGGGCTCGCATTTGCGAACCCCAGGTCGCAAATGCGACACCTGCAACTCATCACAATGTCTTTTGGACGGGATTTTTCGTTCATTCTTCAAATTTTCAAAACCTAAAATACAAGAGGCGATTTTCCAAAGAATTCTTCTTCCCCAAATCATAGGTAAGTGATTCTTAACTTGTTTCTTTCAATCTTTCACTTCATTTTACAAGATTTCAACCTAGAATCTAAGGTTTTTCATGGTGGAATTGGGGAGTTTCGGGTAGAAACTAGGGATTTGATAAATTGGGGATTTAGACCTCAAATTGAGGTCGGATTCCAAAATCAATTACATATTCGGGCTCGGGGGTGAATGGGTAATCGGGTTTTGGTCCAAAAATTGTATTTGGACCAAGCGGTCCTTGGTATTTACTTTTGTTGACTTTTTCAATAATTGCCTAAATTGAATTCTTATCGATCGTGGGTGATTCC